ATGAGCACCCGTGCGTGGAGAGCATGAAGGACATGGTGCTGCGGGAGAGAGGTCGCCCAGACATCCCGGGCAGCTGGCTTCTGCACCAGGTGACCACCGCCTAACAACACTGCAGCCAATGTGCATGTAGAATAAATCTGAGCGTGCAGGGCGGTGCAGGGTTAACACAGTGAGAAGGGCCCGAGTTCTCTTCAGAACCTTTGCGCAATGTGTGGAGTGTTTTATGTTTGTCCCCCTGTTCTGCAGCGTGCGAGTGAGTGGAGTGTGTATGTTTTTCTCCTGTTCTACATGAGCATCCTCAAATTATTCAATTGGGGTTACACATAGCAACATCGGCCCGAGCACAAAAACTTGAGGGGATCTTGAGTCTCAATGAGGCTTTCTTGGGTACACAAGCATGGCTTTGTAAGCTAATGGTTTACCCAAGTGTGCAGCTATGACGTTCCTGTGTTGATCAGTGATTCAGTCTGTGAAATTTCATTTTCATTGTTAATTACCAAGATATATAAAGTAATGATATATTTTGAAATTATATATATAAACATTTCAATAAATATTAAAGGACTGACTGCAATGGCAGTTGGTGTATATAAATGAAAAAAGATCGCTATTGCTGTCAGTAACCATACTTGTTTCTACAAAATGTCATAGAAAACGGGAAAAAAAATCTGAAAAGAGCACAAAGCCTGGCAGAGGTCCACGGTGGGAATTACTGTACACTGAGAAACAGAAAGAGGGACATATGAAGTAGATAAAATAGGCAAGTTGGAGATATAATAAGTTTTACCCTTTCTGGCAGTAAAACAGTTGTCAAGATGCTAAAACACCAAACAGAATACTTATTCAAGGAATCCTGTCTGCATTAACCACACATACTCGTGGTGAACATGCAAACAAAAAACATGCTCTGATAATATATGCATTGTCTTTGAAACTGATTGGTCCACACCAGAGACAGCTTTCTTTTGATCCTAATTTCAAACCGTGTTAGACCAGAGAACGCCAAAAGGCGAACAGCACAAAGGCAATGCACCATCAGGGCATTTATTGCTCGGGGTGAGCAGCTACAATATGGGACCTCGACTGTTAAGAAGTTTACTTGGTACATGTCGCCAGAAGGGATGCTGTCCAATGATTGAGACAAATGACGGAGCGATTGCCAAAGTACGGAACACGCCCTTGAAAGGAAATCCACCGCGGAAATGCAACAATGAAATCAGGTTGTGTGTGGGTACTATGTGAATCGTTGTCCTGCAGGACCGTGAGATGGTGACACTTTGGGTAGGCCTTCATCCTGCAGTGGATTCATCAAGGCTGACGATACCATATATATAATAGGCAGGTGCCGTGGCAAAATGTTCATGTCACAGCAAAGAAGAGTAGCACAGTCAGAAAATCTTTATAATGACATATACTTTAGTTGGAGAATCCAGCAGGGTGGCACTGTAACAAAGCTGAGAGATAAAATATTGGTGATCAACTCGGCATAAAAAGAGAGTAAAACATTGCCAACAGTGTGACTTGAAGGGATGCTGGCTAATGGTCAAGACTAACGACAGAGTGGCAGCCAAGTATGGAACACGCCCGAGAGGGTATCCATTGCGAAGATGGAGCATAGTGTGCAGTAGGAACTAGGTGTATTGTTACATCACAGGACTGTGAGGCCTTTCACTTGTTCCGAAAGACGGAAGCCTCAATATGAAGACAACACACTTTAATGTGTGCTGCCGTCACGTGTCTGTTGCAGGGAATGGGCTTCCTGAGCGAGATGATCACCGAGTGCTGGGACCATGACCCAGAGGCTCGTCTGACGGCGCAGTGCGTGGCAGAGCGCTTCAGCCAGATGGAGATCGCGGAGACGGAGCGGGAGAGGGAGCGCGACAGTCAGCCGCCGCCCACCGACGAATCCTCTCCCGCTGAGAGCTCGGACAGCTTTGAGGACAAGGGCGAGACGCAGTGTCTCATGGGCAGCCCCTCCCGCTGAGGGGCATGCGGGACGCAGGGGGAAGAGAATACAGCCGGAAGTCTTGGGTTAAAGTGATGGGTGTGCACGTACGCGGCCACGAACACACACGTGGGCGCGCGCGTGTAAACAGAAAAGTTATCTTACGCAGTCGACTGAGTGCATCATCAGCTTAAATGCGCACGGATTTGTTGGCCCTGTTTTTCGACTATTACTCAGGCACTCGATACGTTTTAACGAGCTTTAATCGTCAACATGCTCCCAAGGCCATGCAGATTAACCAAGTCGACTTTATGCACAGAGTGAACAACGCAGTTTAGTTTTGCATTTGTAAATTTAGCACACGTATACAGCACTTTCTTGACAGTGCATGGACAATCATGAACATTTCTAACATGTTAACACATACATGAGCAAGATTTATTATTTTGTAAACATAAATACATGTGCATTTGTCTCCACACACACCCCTATATACAAAGATAAATATCCTCCGCAGATTTTAACAGACTTGGGGCAAGTGCTGTCAACAAACACCTATGAAGGTCACTAAGGCGCACAAGGGAGTGGGTGGCTAGCATTACCATATATACACACAATATTTGTTTTCATCAAATTTCTTTTCTACTCACAGCAAGACATTTTAAATATTTTATGAGACATTTCCTCAGTGCTGAGGCATTGAAAAACACTGTAAATGTAACTAGGTTCCATTCGATGTAAAACAATTGGGCTATATTTTTCAAGTAGACAATTCAAAGATAACTGGTGATAGTTTTTATTACAGTATTATTTCAATTATATGACATTTCCAAACGTATATATTATACATAAAACTTGTCAAAACAATGGCTGTAATTTGATGATACAAAGAGAATAACTTTTTCTCAATATCGGTTGACAGTATTTGAAGCCATTTCCTTCTCTTTTTTACAAGGAGGTAAATAGAAAATGAGGTCTAATTTTTCATGGAACTATCCAGATTTATCACACTAACCTTGGGAAAGATTCACTATAATAAAACAAGGACTGGAAATGTATACATACACACGTAACGATTGTGGAGTTTGTCAATATACAAGGGAAGACCAACACATGTTGCTTTTACATTAATACATTTCAACCATCTCAAATCTTCATCTGCTACATCACCTTCCAGTGAAATGTCAAAAAATACACAATCGAAATGGAATTTGCAAATGAAGTGCAATGGGATGGGTTGGCTCTCCAACTTCCAATTATGCAAGCATTAAAAACAACACGTGCATATCCATGGCCGACTTTAGCTGATGCAAATCAAATGAAAACAAACGATGTCTCAAACTTGGCATGTGGAGGAAATAGGGTTAATGTAATACAAAAGGGAATTTTATACTGTAAAGCAAACTGAATGCATATGAGGGTTTTATGTTTGATTTGCCTGGCTGTTGGTAAACCAAAGGGCATGCATATGATAGGGCATACCGACGCAGTGCAAGATTATATTGACTTGTCACAATATCTGCATAAGTTGTGGAATGTGTCACTTTTTGGAAGGGGCATTTTGTGAGGCCTGGAACAGCTGCTGAAATGACATTATCCTTGCTTCTGTTTGTATAAGTTTGTTTCGTTTTGGGTTTTATTTTATAAAACCTTAGTTTGAATGATCAAATATTGTATATACGTGTGTACAGTACAGTATATTAAAAAGATATATGTAAAATGCATAGCAAAATATTGACGTTTTGGGCATGGTACATGACACTAAAAGCTCAAAGTGCAAGCGGCTTGCAACATGTAAATATGAATGTTTTATTGAAATGTTGATAAGATTGATGCTATAAAAATATAATTGAGAGTTCTACAGTACTGTAGTTGAACGGAAGATATTTTATTTGAATATTTTAAAACATACACGTTATTAGTAAATAATTTGGCAATAATTAATTTGTGACATGACATCTGAAACTATGATTTATAGAGCATTTTGATATTACCATATTCCCCAGATTATGACCCCTTATCACTGTATTTTATTGCCAAGTTGTTACTTATTACTTAACATTTAATAATCCAGAGCATATGGTAATATCCGAGGAAATTAATAGATTTCACAACAAAGGTGGGCATTGCACATACAAAAGCTCTCAGCCTTATTCAGACCACCAGCTCAAAATAAGTGGCTATTGTTCAGAACCTACTCAAAATGTGGCCATCCCAACAGGCAGTAAGCGAAACAAAGGCAAAACTGTTGACTGGTTTCTTCTTCATTACGACTCATCAGTACGGTACACTCAGCACTATTTGCTGCTGTCATATGCCCCTGGGAGCCCCGTAAAGGAAGAGGACTTGTACATTTACACCGTGGCAATCGCATTAGCACTTGCCTAAAAGTCAACCATGACGAGAAAACACATCGCAACAGAAATATTATTGCAGGCTGCAAAGACAACAAGGTGTGCATTGCTTATAGCAAAACAAAAGTTGAAAACAAGCACCTTGGGAATACGTTTGCAAAGCATTTTATGGAAAATGGAATACGCATTAGCTTGTTGTTGCTGGTCACAAATACTATACAGGTTCAGCCCAAAACATGTACATTTCAATTGTACTTAAACGAAAGTGAATGTGGAAATTGAAGCCATGTATTAACTGGGAAGATATGCTCAACAATTGAACATTTTAATACAAGGGTGTGTGCTTACTACGTGAAAACTGTATTGTTTCCTTGCCATTGTTTTTTTTTATTTCTGTTAACAGCTTTAAAAAGTATTCAAGTATTACTAACCACGATGTAGTCTGTGCAGTGTTATTATTTTCAACTATTTTTGAACATTTGCAAGTGTATAACATTTTGGCATAATACCGGTGCAAAGTAGATATCTGGCAGTGATTGGTAATGTTAATGCACGAATTCACTCAAGCAAATGTTACGAAGTAGTCTTTATTCATTGATAGAGTAATTGTCAATGGAAAAAAAAACATAGATGTGACAATTTGAGGGTTTATTGAAAAAACACTTGTCTTGAATGGTATTTCAAGATAAAAACAGATGGGGTTGTGGTTATAAGCAAGTTTATTTTGGTGAAAACTCAAGAGACCAGGAGTCTGATTTGACATGAGTGACCTGGGTCACCAATATGACAAAAGAAAAGTAGGGCAATGAAACAAAAAGAATCAGAACAAAAACCACTGTGCCACATGATAAAACTAATATATAAAATGTATTAAGCATGGTTAGAATGATGTAAAGGTGAAACATATAATTTTCCAAAAGTATTCACAATAATGAGTCCAAATCTTGTTAGTTATCAAGAATTCACTATAAAATGAATACATTATCACAGTGCCTTCCCTTTAGAGGTAATGTGTAGCACTTCAAAAACTGTATTGTGATTTCTGAAAATGAATCCACCAATGTGTGAACAAATTCTTTATTATCTTGTAAGGTATATATTACAGCACACTTTATATACAATATAAATATACCAAAGTTATTTTTTCCTGCTATATGCCTGTACTGTATATACTTTTTGCTGAGTGGACGGGATTAACAATTCAGTTTATGGGTGCGATACTGCAAAATACAAATAAATACATTTTTCATTACATTTTGGCATCTGCCGTTGTTTTAAATATATAGTGATGCACATTCTTCAGATCCATTCTGCACTGATTAAAATCTAGAACCCAGTTTAATTGCATAAACATTTTTTACTTATACACGGTAAATAATTGTAGCCAGAGCAATCTGGAAAGCTGTTCCAGGAATTTTAGGTTATTTTGGCATGCCACATCCATTTCACTTTTTGTGGTATCATAAATGCATGAACCTGTTTTGAGGATTCTAGCAAAAAAGGTTTAATAATATAGAATGCATTGGTGTACCTTAACCCTCCTCCAAGCGAGCATGGCAGCAATATGGAAATAAATATAAATACAATCCTCGTTCTACATAAAGTGGGCACCAAGTATGAAGAGATATTTGTTAAAATTCTGTTAAATCGTTGACCACTGATTCAGACAAGATATTTTCAAGTGAAAAGCGCTAAAACATTCACAACGCAACTGAAACAGGGCTTCTGAAGCTCCAGCCCTTACACCACACCACTATATGTTTCATCATTTAACAATTATCTCCAAATAGATTAATGTGTTACACGTGCCATACACCTGGTAACTGCAAAATAAAAACCCGAACAAGGTTTTTGTGTGAAGACTGGGATTTGAGAAGCCCTGCTCTAAACACACCACTTACTACTTAACAGACCCAGAGAGTTAATGTGTTGTGTCAAAAGACAATGGAAATTTTATTTCTGTACGAAAGCCAGATTAGTAGCCAAATCTGTATACAGTTCATATGTGAAAAAGCATATACAGTATGTGGGGAGAAACGTGTTACTACTGTGAAAATCCCAGTGCTTATGGTAAAGATTCTGTCCATATATCTCGGTCAATATGTGCACCAAAAGGGGCTTCCCTTAGGTCTACTCAACCTAAAGGCTGGTAAAATAGTCGTCTGCCAACGAGTGCAGTGAAATAAGACTGGCAGGTGTGTATGAGCCCTTCCTTTATTTGCTGTACATTTTAATAGTCGCTTACTAAAAGTCTTTCAAAGATATAACTGAAGTCCTTGTTTGTATGTGCAAATGCACGTGATGTATTAATCACGTGATTAAGTAGCTGGAATCATATTTGTCGCTAAAGTTATTTTATTCAGAACATAGCTAGCAATCACGGGAGTTGTGAGCTTCCTTAGTTTAATCCCTTGGTGCAAACGCTGCAACAACTAAGTTGGAGCCCTCTGCAATAACACGTTGCACATTGTATTTGTTACAATCACAGACATGCAGCGCTTGCTGGATATCATCTTCAAGATACTTAGGCTCTTGTTTGCTTTGGATTTTTGGCACAACTTCTGGAAAACCAAACGTTGGTAGTCAACCCCCTTCAAAATAAACTTGCAATATGCTTCTATCAGCCCCAGTCATCCCCTCAACCACACGCACTTCCATTTCCAGAAATCTCTCAGATCCCTGAGTTGTGTTTGTGGGAGACAAAATATATTGTATTGAATAAAACATGAGGGAAAGAAAATAAACAGAAGGGTTTTAGAAGTCATGATTGTAACATGGGAAGCAGGTTATTAAAATTTATATATTCTGTACTATACTGTGTGCATATACTACAGATCACCAGGTCTCCATTGTAAAGGTGATGTTGCCATTGTAAACATAATGGTCAAAGACATTGATTCCACAAGTTTTACCAAATCAGGAGATACCAATTTTTTTCTCTGGCCCATAATTAGCTCAGTACAAACAGGCATTAAAGTGCCACTTTGTAAATAATAGGATTTGTAACTATACGTTAAGTCACGTAGGTATAATAAAAAATAGATCATGACGTTTCGATCGCAACACAAGCAACCGTCTTCAGGTGAAAGAAGATGGTTGCTTGTGCTGCGATCAAAACGTCGTGATTTATTATTTGTTCTACCTACATGACTTTACAGAAATAACCAAAGTGTATGGATCCCTGTAGTCACGAAAGCTTCAAATCAAGATATATACGTTAAAACAGATTTTCACGGGCCTTAGCGCCTAATGGCATCTTCCCCTGATTGGAACCAGCCAGTGCAGAGAAGTCTTCTTGGTTAGAGACCAGCAAAGATAATTAAAATACGAGATTGATTATCATGCATTATTCTCATACGCTGAGCATGTGGTAAAGTGCTGTCCTGTATTGTGGACCAGGTCACCTGAAAGATCTGCACGGGCAATTCATCTCACAGGCGGCAGGCAGCCTGGACGCCAGCAGCAGACTTAGTCCCGACCTCTTTGGTGGCCCCGCCTGGCAATAGAGGCACGGTCAGCAGGCGCTTCTGCAGGTTGACCGGCGAGTCACCTTGCGTGTGGTCGCAGCCTTCGAGGCAAAGATAGCAAGCTACCAGGAGCCCCCTGAAGACGGCGGTGGGCGAGGGCCAGCACTCTCTCCAGTTGGGGGGATGGGGGTTAAGGTGGTAGCCACGACTTCGCCAATGGTGGATTCCACAACTCCAGACACCGCACCGGAAGTGGTGTGTGGCCTACAGTCCTGGCTTCCGCAGCCGCTGTGGAGTAAGCCATCCCATGGATGACAAGTCTTATCACCTCCGCCAGGAGTGCTTTAGCCGAAGCAACTTCAGTCGACAGCCCCCATGGCAGCATGGCCTCCTTCTGAAGTCGCAAGTGGCAGGACTCTGGTCAAGTATGGCAAGCAGAAGCCTATAAGAATGATGGTAACCTCATGGGCAAGTGTGCATCAGGTCCCTCTCAATAACATTTTCAGCGTACCACATGTATTCATGAGCACTAAGTTCTATGTCTCTTTTTGTGGGAGTGCTCTACTCTGTGGCCCAGTAAGGGCCCTGCTCCTACCACAACCAATCTGGGTTTGACAGGTATATTAGGAATGACTTTGCTGCTAGGCCATACAAATATGTAAGATTTAGTTCTTACATATTGATTTTTATAGGTCTTGGCAGCTCCCACAGGGATCCCTCCCAACTCCCCATCTCAGCAGCGCTGCAGTGGTTAGGCATGTTTCCTTTACAACCTCCCGTAGGCAATTGGGAACCACATGGTCAGACAGACAGGATAGGTCAGACCCCTTGGTGCCTAAACATACTGCCAAGTGGTAGGGACTGAGTTGTGTTTGCACTGTATGATACATACCTTTTAAGCTTCACACCTGTTATCTTCCTGAAGTAGTAAAGGTGGAGCCCCATGTCTCATATATGTTGGGAGTACAAGAGGGGTGGCCTTCCAGAGAAGATTCTCTGCACAGCCTGGTGTTTAAGTTATCTTTACATAAGAATAAAATATTTAAAAATACATCGCCTGCAAACATAACTGATATGTATAACTGCCAAAGTAAATTTTTAGTAAGAAGTGGATAGTGGGAGCAGTGACCCTACAATATCACGGAGGACATCACTACTCTCCATACCACCACGAAAGAGGAGGCAGCCACTTGGTTTCTGCCAGTCCCTCCTCTCATGCCACTCCTATTTCAAGCAGCATCCAGTATATTGCGCAGGATGGTATGTGGTAGTCCGTTCTAAAATTGCTACTGCAAACAATATATCTACCTCCTGAAGCAGATTGCCATACAGGCAAGCCCACCGCCAAAATAGAGTTCACAAAACTAAAGAAATATGAGAGCAAAACATATAAGTCTTTGGCTGAATCCTCTTATGGACATAGGTTGATAGGCAGCCAGCCAAAGATGTCTTCTCTGCATGGCCGAATTCCAAAAGGAGCAAGATATCTGTTAGTTATGACTGTGGGTGCTGCCAAGATGTACAAAAACATGAACGTGTTACACGCCAGCAAGCTCCAGTTCCTGCTCCGGGTCCCATGTTGTGCTGCTTTGGTCTGGGTCAGTGCTCGACTCCTCTCCCAGACGCTGCCACCAAGCTCGACGCAGGCTTCGCAGGGCTAGGGAATGAGCCTGCCGTGCACGGGCAGCCACCGGGCCCGAGCGACTCCTCAGAGCCTCCACATCCCGTGGAGATGCCTGGGCTGGGATTGGTATGTCTACAGTACACGCACAAAAATCGTAAACACCAAAGGTCATGTACTGCTGGTGCGGTTACCGTAATGCATTCATATGTCAGGCTCAAATGATCCTGAACCTGTGGTGGAATTTCCACATGATGGCAGGAGCCAGTCAATAGTGTAAGGAACCACTATTGACTTCTCATTCTCGCCTCGGTGGCAGGATGTTAACTCCCTCGCATGGTATGCAGGAGGTCGTAGGTTCTATCCAGACCCTGACGCCTATACATTTGGAGTTTGCATGCGTCACATTTACACATAAGAAACTTCCTTGAGCTATCATTTGTGGCCAGGTCGCTTCTTATAAAGAGCTATATAGCTTAATGGGCCCTACCTGGTAAAATAAAAAAAACTGTAAAATTTAAATGAGTAAATAAAGTGGTAATCGGCTTACACTCAAGACATTGCAAGATCTTACAATTACAAAATTACAACACACCTGAACGCAACTGTACCAAGAGACTTATACAACAGGGAAACTATTCTGTCTGAGCTGTTTGCTAATCAAGTGGATTATATGTACAGAATATTATATACAGCAGAAACATTATGGACAAATAGCATTCAGATCAGGCTAAGATAAAGGATAAAGGGAAACAACTCAATGCAGACAAGAGGGAAGTTAGTACAGAGCAGCACATGTTGTGGGTGTGGTTTGGTTTGCACGCACAAACACAATAGCATGCATCTCAAGACACATCACTAAGGGCTGATACGCACTGGCAAGCAGCTCGGCTTGAGTATTAATCTGGGCGAGTGTGGCCGCCCTCCGCTGCTCAGACCGTGGGCCCAGTTGCCTCTGCAGCAGGAACTGTCCCAGCAGCGCCTGTGCATGGTTGTGCAGCTCACGTGCCTCCTCTCCATGCATTGGGGTAGACTGGTGAGATAACCAATGTGGACAAGAGGCCAAGTTTTGATTTAAAGCCTTCGTGACTGCAGGGATTCATATTCTTGTCTCTTTCGGTAAAGTCACGTAGAAGGGAAATAATAAAATAATAACAATATAAAACAATTATTTTTATTATTTCCCTTCTACGTGACTTTACCGAAAGAATCAAGAATAAGAGGCCAAGTATTTTTAAGATATGTATGTTGAATTTCTTTTGTGCCGTACATAGTCAACCATGCTAATCGGAGGTGCAAAATAAAGGTCAACATTTTATATGATGATTTGAATATTTTTTTGGTTCAGACACCAGATCAAAGAACGTCATATAAAAGTAGACAAAAGAGACCATTTGACATCAATATAAGGCCCCTATGAATGGTTGACAGATATTAAATATCACTAATTGATTGATGAATAGTATATCAAAGAAACCATTTTAGTTGCCATATATTAAATATCACACTCATTGATTGATGAATAGTATATCAAAGAAAACATTTTAAGGACGTCTTTACCATATTTAGCCAAATGAAAGACAATTTAATTATTTTGAAATTCACCCGTCAGTGACCGCAACGGAGTGAGATTTCTCGTTCAACTCTTTAACACCGAACCAAGGTATGTGTAAATAAACAGCAGTGGGTCCAGATAGGTTAAACCCAAGGGTACCGGGTGCTTCTGGATGTGCTCTTCAATGTGGGCGCGTAGTTCCATCCGCCGCGCATCGCTCATGCCCCTCCAGCCCAGTGAGCGCGATGATGCTGCTGTCTGCTGGGAATGCCTTCTCTCCAGGAATCTGCGCACCTGTAGCAGGGGACACATGGTAGCTGGTGCAAGGGGCACAGCCACTTGGTCCATAAACATTAAGGATTGAGTTATAATTAAATATAAACAGATTAAATTTCGATTTTGGTTTCATTCAGACGCTGTCTCCCCGACAGACCTGGTCTTCACCTGAGGACGGCTGCTTGCGTTGTGGCCGAAAGGTCGTGAGAATTATTTTATTATGTTTTATTTTTATTATTTTATTATTTCCCTTCTACGTGACTTTACCGAAAGAACCAAGAAGATAAACAGATTACTTGGTAAGGGAATGTATGCTCCCAACCTTGAGAATAAAAGTTCAAGTCTCAGCTGGACCCATTCTTTTGGCGATGCTACACTCGTTGTTTGGAATTATACAGTTGCTGTCCAAGAGAGCGAATTGGTCACCACCACAGTAACGTGGGAATTTCTACCACCAGCAGATTAATTTGCAAGAACAAAATACGTTATAAGATACAATTAAGAAAACATGTAACTCTAACACAGGCTGACACGTCCATGTATACTCACGGCTCTCTGAATGGTAACGGCCGCCTTTGCTTGCAAAAGCAGTTGCCGGTCTCTCCTGAATGCCTTCCGTTTTTGAAATCCACGCCATCGTGCCTGAATCAGTACAGCAGCGCGGGTCGCCTCAAATGCCAGGTACCGATCCATCTCGTCTGTGATTGGGTACATTCAGAGTGAGTAAAATAAACATGGTGGCTCAGTGACACTCAGCATCATTCTAAGACATCACTTGACTCTTTAATAATAATGCAAATTTACATAGAAAATCCACATTGAATATGAAAATGATTCTTAACGATGGACCTGCAGTGGGACATTTGGCCAAAGTCATTGCTGAATGTGGACACGTGGGACAAAACTAGAGTACCAGAGAAATCTCACTCATACAAGAGGTAACATTCACCACAACCATCTCCTGACCATTTTGCAGCCCTGGGCCTACAATACCTGGAAAGCTCTGGTGGTCCCCTATCCAAGTACTATCCAGGCTCAAACCTGCTTGGCTTCTGAGATCCGAAAACATCGGACACATTCAGAGCAAGTACCTGGGTTGTATTAGGCAATGGCTCTGGGATAAGGCCATGCTGCACTATGGCAACCATGAGAAGGAAAAAAAACAACATTGTCTAAACAACCTTCATCACGTGGACGGTAAATCAGAGAGACTGGTGGGTTGGTGTAACCCTGACGGGTTGGCCATAAAAAGCCGCCACCACATATAAGGCTATCTACTTGCCAACCTGCAATATTGTCTTTCAATCGGACACGTCCACTGCCTGGCAAGTAGATGCTCCTACCTCCACTGTCCTTCCTGGCCTGCCCCATCTCCAAGCATGCAGCGCAGGAAGACATTTAGTGATCCGAGCCCAGACTAGGATAAACCACGTCTGTTTGTTGGATCCAAGGGCTTGCTATAAGGGCTGTCGTGGATATACCTCAACTAAAAACGTTTCGTGTTAAGTAGGATTACATACTAATCCAGTTAAAACATGCTCTTTTAAAAGACTCGTTTTAAGCAATCGTCTGTGGTTGGTGCAACTGTCAGCCTGTGATTGAGACATTACTGGCAGAGTTGCCGTAACGTACTGGCTGGCACAATTTCCAGGAGGAGCAGTCGACGTTGCCGGGAAGTGCGCATAGCTCGCTGTCGACGTATTATCAGCTCCTGACGCAGCTCTTCTTGTTGTTGCTGCTGCTCACTTTGTAATCGCTCCTTCTCCCGCTTCTGTCTGCACCAGCACGTATTGTTTCAATCACAATTAATTTCGGTAAATTCCCCATATTGAACAATCATCATGAGAGCTATACCCGTAGAATGAATCAACAATCTGTGCTTTAGGATTAATTGCACATTTGAGGTTAATGAAGACTGACCCAATCCATGTTTTCATTGTGACTCAATGAGCCAAATTTTAAGGTGGTTGGAAATATAACATTCACCAGACCACACCATTGCTCTAAGTTGGATTTTAAGTATTCTTAAAATCTAACTTAATATTTCAGGGTTTTTAGTGGAAACTCATTTTCAACTCAGCCTATGACCTTTTTGCACTAATTTGATAAGTACAACTTTGTAGGAAGTCAACAGTGGTTGTGAAATAAGTTCACTCATCCTCACTATAGGAATTGAGAATTTTTTTATCACCGGTTCAGAGATATAAAATAGGAGTTGAATGGTTCTCCATTCTCAGTTGAGAATGGCAGGCTAAGAAAATATTTCTTTATCAACAGTTTTAATTCCTGATTATTAATATTTCACTCAAATATGCTTGTTGGTTAGAGCAGCAATGTAACATATACGTAAATTACACAAACATATATACCTGAAGCTTCGCTGCAGATATGTCACAGCGTGTGGAAGTTTCTTAAGCCTGCACCTTGCACGGTATGCTCTCCACGCACTCTGCACGACACTTGCTGCTTTGTGTAAATGCTGAAACATGAATATCAATATGTATGAAAAGAATGGGTGTGCTTGATCTAGGAACTCAGCAGTGAAGATGGATTCACCGATGATACATTTTGATGAATCATACATTCAATATTGCAGTCAACATAATACTGACAAGGCAATTATGTTGCCTATGGAGACTGTGGAACATTCTAAAAATGACAAAGGTTTTTTGCTCTGTATTTAACACTCTCAAGATATTTGGTATTTAATTGTAGAAATAAAATACATGGTGCAAAAGTATAACATTCGTGTATTACTATAAAATAAGGTGTCATGCATAATTGTATTCCCAATTTATACTTGAACAAAAGCAAATTAAGCTTCATTTAAACCGAAAGTTGACAATACCTGTAATTCGGCCTGCTTATTAGAACCAGCACTGAGCAGATCCAGTAAACGGCGAAAGTCTTTCTCAAAACCCTTGCCAATCCACATGTTAAGCAGCAGTTGCAAGCCTTCCAGAAAACACATCCACCACAGCGAGATGTACATTGGTACCAACATGACACCATATTGGCAAAAATACATATACCTAACAACACATTCCCGACAATTCATTTACGTGAACCTAATGATTGTATTACCTCATTAAACAATTTGAAGGTAAAAAAAATTCAAGAGAATCACATTTATATATTCAAAACTTGGCATATATTTTAAAAATGCATAAGCAATTCAAATTACATAACCAGGATGCACGGTTAGTAATGGACCATTTATTTTAAATCCACCTTGGTGTTTCCATAGACAGATAACTATAAATCAACCATATGTTTAAAAACATTACTGTGGACTTTTTCATGAATCCAGATTTGTATATTCATGTTAATAATCTTTGGATGTATAGGGCACATAATTTCCGCAGCATCTCAAAGCACTTTTCCTTTAATGTTATCTCAACCATTCAAAGGAGGCACCCAGTAACAGCTGTCCAGCACAAGGTGATTCAGCACTGACCTACACAGGTGAGCAGTCTTCCAGTAGAGGTCTATGTTGATATTATTTTGCCAATTAAACATTTCGCAATTATTGTTTTAAATTTGTAAAATAAAGCATGTGTAGTAAGTATATATGGAGGCTTGACGACAGGATCGGAGGCACACTTATTTATTACACCAACACAGTTATTACAGGTCACTTGGCTACAGGGATTTCTCGACAGCTAACCCCTCTAACCTATACCAACTCCTCCACTACGGGACTAGGGGAGGCTATCTGTCCCAGCTTGGTTAAGCTGGGATCCCGGCTTCCCTGAGTCACCAGACCAGCTTCGTCTGGGCTCTCGGGGCCACGCCACCGGCTTGCCCTGGTCGGCCCTTAGAAGGACAGCGAGCCAGGGGAGCTCCGGGGCCTATACTAGCAGGTCTTCGTTCTTCTCTGGTTAAAGCTGAGTCCCGACTCCCGAGCCTTTCGGCTCATCACCTTTTATAGGACTTGCCCCCAAGGGGGGGCCCGTGGGGGATACACATGCGGACGTCGGTGCGAGCGCCACCCTTGTGTACGGCCGTAACCCCGCCCCTTGTGTTTGTTGGCCATCCGTGGCCATGCATAATCACACCTCAACATTCGTAGACATGCGCAATTACACCTCTACATCACCCCCCCCTGTACAGCTCGCAGCCGTCCCCGGCTGCAAAAAAAAAATCTGAATAAAGGTGCATCCCTCACAAAAACCCCGTGTGTGTGCCTCGCGTAATTTTTAACAAGAACAAGAAAACTTCAACAAGAACAACGAGAGGAAGAGAGAGAGAGAGAGAAAAAAATAACCCGACGCACCCTCCCCGGATAACACCCCAAAACCAACATATATATACACTCCGGACGCCACCTTTCCCCTCGTCCGCAAGGCCCCCCAACGGCCGACCTCACAACACCCCTCCCCTTTTGTCCGCAAGGCCCCCCAACGGCCGACCTCACAAAAGTCTGCGCGTTTTGGCGCGCGTTCTCGCGGCGGGTCCGTCACAAGGGCCCGTCCCGGCACGCTCAGTGACGGTTGTTGACGGTCCGGGTGCAAGAGGGTCAGGCTTCGCTGCCGAGTGACCCCCGACCCCTCCGGGAGGGGTTGGTGGGCGTGGGCCCGTCACTCCTGTTTCACCTGGGGACGGAACAGTTGGCGTCAGGTTAGGCGAGTGCAGCGACGACGGGGAGTCGGCGACACCCTCACACGTTTGGCCATGCGTGTGTGTGTGTGAACCCCGGGGCGGCGTGACGAATGGTTTTAACCTTGAGGGGTGCACATACCACCGGCGCCTCCCCGATTTGACGCGAACACATTGCGGCCGCAAAACCTGCACGACCTCCACTGGCCCCCGCCACGGCCGTACCAATTTCGACGAGGTTGCCAGCGGCACCTGAGGACAGTGCAACCACGCCCTGTCCCCTGGTTCCCATTTGACCACCTGCACCCACCCCAACTGAAGCCTCTCGTTCGCCTTCTGGCGGAGTTCAGAATTTTGCACGGCCGCTTCCCGCGCCTCAGACAATTGAGCGATGTTAAATTTAACGTGTTCGGACAAATTAGACTTCGCCTGGAGCGCCGAGAGCTTCAGCTGGGTCGCCACAGGGGGGTTAACTTCGCGCCCATACATTAAAAAGAAAGGGGAAAATCCGGTGGCCGCATGGGGAGCCATTCTGTAGGCCTGCAACACACCGGCTATGCGGAGGTCCCAATCCGTCTGGGATACCGACACCTGCTGGGACAGCATGGACGTGATGGTCCGATGCAGCCGTTCCACCATCCCGTCAGTTTGTGGGTGATACGGAGAGGTCCGAACCTTCTCCGTACCCAAGAGGTCGCACACCTCACGTAGGAGTTTACCAGAAAAATTCCTACCCTGGTCAGTAAGCAGCCGTTCCGGAGCACCCTTGTCGAGGACATAGCCCTGGACAAAGGCCTCCGCGATGGCTGCTGCCGACTGGTTCGCCAGGGGCCAGGCCATAGGCCATCTCGTGAAGTATTCAACCCCCGTTAGTAAATACCTATTGCCCCTGGGTGTAGCGGGAAATGGGCCAAGTATGTCCAGAGCGACGAGCTCGTTAACCCTGGAAACTTTTATGGACTGCAGCGGAGGGTTGGACCCCCTAGCAGGTGGCTTCCTCTGCGCGCATTGCGTGCATGACCCCAAGAGATCCCCCACGTCCTTTTCCATGCCCGGCCAGAAGAAATCTAGCTGGAGCGTGGCAAAGGTCTTATGAACCCCCAAGTGCAGAAGCCGCTCATGAACAGCCCATACCACCTTACCCCTTAAAGCAGCAGGCACCACGAGCCGCTGGCGCCGGGTTTTACCATCCCAGTGCATTAAAAGTCCCTGGAACAACCCCCACGAGTCAACGTTTTCCACCCCCTGGCCAACCCCCCCGGCGCGACGGCGCAGAGCGAGGAGGGAGGTGTCCTCCATTTGGAGGCGACCCCATTCCGCGACCGACAACCCCAGCAACGAATTCCTCCCTTCTTGCTCGATAGGACCCGAAACCGAAGGCGCATCGGCAGCGGCCACGAGGACCGAATCGGTGGTGACGTTCGGAGACCTACAACGCCCCGAACCCAAGAGGCACGCGCACTCCGAAGTGGGTGGCAATCGCGACAGGGCGTCAGCGTTCGTGTGGCGGAGACCCTTACGATATGTGGTGACAAAGTCATAGTCTTGGAGAATCTCCAACCATCGAGACAACTGGCCCGATGGTTGTTGAACCCGCAGGGCGTATTGTAGGGCCGCATGATCTGTACGGACGGTGAACCGCCGACCGTACAGATACGGGCGGTACTGCTGAATGAAATAAACAATCGCCAATAATTCCCGACGGGTAACGCAGTACCGCTGTTCGGCTGGAGACAGTACCCGACTACCGTAAGCCACCACATGCTCTACGCCCCCAATGAGCTGGGACAGCACGCCCCCGATGCCCGTGTTACTTGCATCTGTATCGAGCAAGAAGGGTTGTGAAAAATCCGGGTAATTCAACGGCGGAGCCCCCACCAAAGCATTCCGGAGGGCGCGAAAAGAAGCCTCCTCCTCCGGCCCCCAATGAAACCTGACTCCCTTGGACGTCAAGGCATGCAATGGTTTCGCAATCGTAGCGAAGTCAGCCACAAATCGCCGATAATACGACGCGAACCCAATGAAACTCCTGACCTCTCCCACAGAGGTGGGAGTCGGCCAGGAGCTGACGCATTCCGTTTTGGCGGGATCAGTGGATATCCCCGAGCGCCCAACAATGTGACCCAAATATCGCACCGATTCGCGGAGTAAATGGCACTTCTGTGGTTTAAATTTCAAATTGGCAGCCCGCATTTTGAGAAAAACAGCACGCAACCTCTGGAGGTGTTCCTCGAAGGATTTGCTAAAGACGATGACATCGTCTAAGTAAATCAAACACGAATCCCATTGCAAACCTGCCAAGACCAATTCCATTAACCGCTGAAAAGTTGCCGGCGCAGAATGTAAACCCATCGGCAAGCGGTTAAATTGGAAGAGACCTTGCGGTGTCCGAAAAGCAGTCTTAGGTTTTGATTCGTCATCCAGAGGAAGCTGCCAGAATCCAGATAGCAAATCGAGGGTGGAAAAGAATCGCGCCCCTGCCAAGGCATCGAGCGACTCATCCATTCGAGGAAGCGGGTACGCATCTGCCACAGAGATTTTGTTCAGACGCCGAAAGTCGACACAAAACCGCAGTGAGCCGTCGTGTTTTTTCACCAAAACGATCGGCGCGCCCCACGGGCTGTTGGAAGGGGAAATGATATCGGCGGCTAGCATGTCATCAACAGCCGATTTGACATGATCCTTTTCGGCGGGACTCAACCAAAAGGGATTTTGGCGGATTGGCGCGCTGTCACCCGTGTCAATATGGTGTCGCAGCAATTTAGTACAACCAATATCAAATTTGTGTTGACTAAAAACGTCAGCAAATTCGCTCAGGAGAACTCGCAGCTGCGCGCGCTGCGAGTCGGACAGGTCCACTGAACCCGCGCAAAGCGCATCCAGCCATCCGTCATCACAGTCCGAATGCGGTCGCGACGGAGGATCGGTGGATACCTGACCCACGAGTGGTTCCTCATAGGGTACCGGCGTTGCGTGTGCAAGCACGGTCCCTTGAGGAACCACGGCCGTTCGCGATCCCACATTAAGGACTGCAATGAAGGGGTCCCCATCCCCTCTCACCATGGTCTGAGCCGCGAGCAAATCGGGTCCATTTACCCCGGCCCGAGATGGTCCCAACAAGACCCCCCGATCCGCAACCCCTTCATTAAACGGCCGACGCAACCTAAGAGGGACGAGCATCTGAGCCCCCGGAGGCACACGCACAGTTTTTGTGACGAGCGCCTGCACGGTGGCAAACGCCCGACGCTCCGTGGTGGGGGAAGACAGAAATGTAACGCGTCGGCCCGATGGGAGCTCAATGCACCCTCGGTCAATAAGGATGCGGATGGGCATTTTGGCCAGAAAATCCGTCCCCAACAGGCACGGAACCGCGAGTGAGGAGGAAACCAAAACAGGCCCGGATAATTTAATGTCCCCAATGCAGATAGTGGCGCGGATTTGGCCAATAATGCCCAGAGAGCCCCCGTTAGCGGCATAGCACGGCACGTCAACAGGGAGCAAGGGACGACTTTGAACGGGAAGGATGTTATAAATTAAATCAGATATAATGGTCGCCGATGCCCCTGTGTCAATTAAAATCCGCACCTCTACCCCATCAATGTGACCGACCACGACCGATGATCCCGCCGACGCAGCAACGACACGATGGGCGAGCTCCGACCACTGACCCGGTTGGAGCGCCCGCCGCATTACCGAACAATCGCGCGCGACGGATGGGGAATTTGGAGCCCTGTTTAGTTGGGCGCGTGAGTGTGTGTCGGATGTGTGCGTGGGCCAAACGTGTGAGGTGCCGCGACTCGCCGTATTTCTCTGCTGGAGCTTGGGAGGAGACGGCGTGGCGTCCTGACGAGGTGTCGCCCCGCGCTGACGGGGAGCCCGGCATCCTGACGCAACGTGGCCTTGCAGGCCACAGTTGTAGCAGCGTGTGAGCGCCCCCGATGTCCTGGGCTGCTCCTGGCGGCTCGGTCCATTCCGAGCCTGTGGTGCCGCCGCTCTCCATTCCCCTCGCCGCTCCACCCCGCAGACCTCCTCCGATGGGAGGGCGGTAGCCGCCATGGCATGGCTGGCCGCCCCCTTTGCCGCCTTTCGACGAAGGGACCGCAAGCCCCCGTGGATGTGGCGCGCGACCAGCAGGGACGACATCTCTGCGTCGTCTTGAGCCAGGACGTTGACGTCCAGCTCATCAGCGAGTAGCAGCAGCTTCTCGGCCACCATGGCATCCACTCCTTCCTCGTCCATCCTTGGGAAAGCAGCCTTCGCTAGAGCCAGGAGAGCAGTCCGGAAGGCCAGAGGTGATTCGTTGGTGCCCCGACGCCGATCGTGGAAAAGCTGCCTGCAGTCCGAAGGCGGCCCATAGACGGCTGACAGCAGCTGCAACGCCAGGTGTAGAGTGGCGCGCTTTTCCCTCGGCGCCGAGGTGAGGGTAGCCAGGGCGTCGTTGTCCAGCATCGCTGGCAGCGCGCGTAGAGCCTCGGCGTCCGACCAGTTCGCCATCTCTTGATGAGCGATGAACCGCCTCTTGAAGCCGCCCCAGTCTCCGTCAGCGCCGACAAATTCTTTAAGAGGCGGCAGACGCTGCTGTAAGGCGGCGTCCGTGGCTGCAGAACGCTCTCCGTCGCTCCCCGCCGATGATACAGTGTGGGCGGGCCGTGAGCATGGCATCGCCGGTCGCTCTGATGTTGACGCGCCGGCCGGCGTTGATGACGTCACGGCTTGTGCTTGGCGCTCAGCAGACACGTGACGCGGGCCGGCCCCGCCCACCGCTCGTACTGTAGAGATGGCGGGAAATTTGACCGCGAGCCGCGTCGGGGTGGCGGGAAACGCCGGCCCGCGCCGGCTGCCGACGTCGACCCGCGCTGCTCCTTCAGCCCCCAGCCGCGTGATCTCTTCCAACGCGGCGGCCGCGGCGTAGAGCAGGTCCGCCAGGCGGGAGTGGGCCAGCCGGAGTCCCTCGGCCGACGCATCCCCCTCCTCCTGTCGTAGCGGCGCGGGCGTACTCGGCCCCGGCTGCTCCGATTCGACCCCGGCCATCTCTGGTGGTGATTCGGCCGCGGTGTCTTCCATCTCCGACTCCCTGGTACGTGTCGTCCCTCGTGTGTCCATCGTTGGACGTTTTACTTCTGACACCAGATGTAGTAAGTATATATGGAGGCTTGACGACAGGATCGGAGGCACACTTATTTATTACACCAACACAGTTATTACAGGTCACTTGGCTACAGGGATTTCTCGACAGCTAACCCCTCTAACCTATACCAACTCCTCCACTACGGGACTAGGGGAGGCTATCTGTCCCAGCTTGGTTAAGCTGGGATCCCGGCTCCCTGAGTCACCAGACCAGCTTCGTCTGGGCTCTCGGGGCCACGCCACCGGCTTGCCCTGGTCGGCCCTTAGAAGGACAGCGAGCCAGGGGAGCTCCGGGGCCTATACTAGCAGGTCTTCGTTCTTCTCTGGTTAAAGCTGAGTCCCGACTCCCGAGCCTTTCGGCTCATCACCTTTTATAGGACTTGCCCCCAAGGGGGGGCCCGTGGGGGATACACATGCGGACGTCGGTGCGAGCGCCACCCTTGTGTACGGCCGTAACCCCGCCCCTTGTGTTTGTTGGCCATCCGTGGCCATGCATAATCACACCTCAACATTCGTAGACATGCGCAATTACACCTCTACACATGTACACAATTTCCATGTTATCCAAATTCAGTAATATGGGATTACAAAGCACACGTTTGGACATGGAGCAACTTTTATTTATGGATGAGATAACACACAAGTGAAGTAAAACACAAGTGTGATGATATACCTCTGCACTGAATACAAAATAGGGAAAAAAATATTTGATTCTACAAAAAATCGAAAAGGAAAAGTATCTCTCTGCCTACACAAGCATTGGGGTAGTGTGCTTATCTGTACTGTCAGCCCAGTGTGAATGGTAAAAGTTAAACATTCATGATGGTTGCCGGTACACCTATATGAAGACCACAGCTGAATAGTGGTACTCAGTGATTTGACCCAGGAGACATGTTGATTCTTGACTTGTAAATGTTTGATTGAGTGCTTTAACCAGAGCACTTGGATGGTTATATAAATTAACCGGCCGGTGGTGGTGCGTAACGATACTGAACCTATCTACGTGACTTTACCAAAAAACCCAAGAATATGATACTGCAGCACTTTTGAGGCAAGGGGTTGTGGAGTGCACACAATTTTCAAAGCTTCCTTTCTCCATGGGCGTCAAACCCTGGCATGCCAGGAAAATGTGGCACAAAGTGCAGTCAAATATCATCTGTCCCCTGTATGGGATAGTGTTGTCTGTTCGCATTGTAGGTTTTCTCTGGGTGCTGGGGTTTTCTCCCACATGTATAAACACTTATTTATTAAATATAGAAATATATAGAGCACCGCAGAGTTTGGGTAATTGTTGGCACCAGTTCACTGGCTGGCTGCCTTCAATCTTTTTTGTTGTACCTCAGCATTGTGAGATGCAATTTTAATGAACAACACTCTATGAAACTAAACATCATTTTAATTTAAACACATGTATATATTACTGAGCTCTTACCTTTGAACCTGGTGCTGAAGGATGCTATTATTGGACGGTGGGACTCAGCGATACACAGCAGTACCCTTGCCACCCCACACCCTAACCGAGGGTCAGAGGTCACAGCAAGCTTGTACACTAGTTCATCCAAAACTGCATTCATGGTCTTTTCGTCCACTTCACCGACAGCTCCCCTATGATGAGCAAAGTAAATTTTTATAAGAAAAACATTCAGCACAAGAGCTTAATGAAGTCACGTATTTTGTAGATGCAATACAATATATGGGAGAGGTTGGAGATAAAAAATTATTAAGCATATCAATTGACACAATGTAATATTTTATATATCTACGTCATAATTTAAGATTGTTAAACTGCATTAAACTATGAAATAGAATGCATTGGCAGCACTTTAAGGATTGGACATTATTTACCACCACTGCCATTACAATGCCTTTCAACTGAAAAATATGCAACAATCTCATGATTCTACCCTCACATATTTATGCTCTCTTTTCACATACTCTACAGAATAGTAATTTTGTTAAGTTCTGAATTATTTTCAGCCTCCAAATGAACTCCAAGAGTAAAAATTTATCCCTGCTCAAATTAACATGGCAGCATTCAACTCCACTTGTAGCACTAAACCAGTGGTGGAAATTTCACATTCCAATCACTAAATCAAGCCTCTTAATAGGACAACTGCATAATTCTGTCAAAAAGGTGCAAATGTTGTTGACCAAATGCATAATAGGTCATATCTACTTCTGAGAAAGCTGACTGAATTTATATATCCATCTGTGTGTTACTGTGGAGTTGAGTGCTCTAACCACTGTGACTCAGATTGCTGTTTGCTAATGACAGCAGACGTATAGGATTTTCAGCATGTGCTTCAAGGTAAAATAGTCAGTTCACACGCTCCTTGCCTGTTGGTTCGCAGGACATTCTGAATGAGCGACATGGTGGAGCAGGCTGTGTCTGCATCGTCTGTGATAAGCAGCTGTTGAAGGTGTTCAGACTTGAGTGCTGAAAGAGATAACAACATCCCACAATATCTGTTCTTAATGTCATTATTGGTGAAACCACATAGGTCGCCAATAATAAGGCTGACATCATTAAAATCTTGGTCTTGAACAGATATTCTTACACTTACTGGCTCGGTGCTAACCGGTCCCCTGAGCCATGCACTCGTTAACTGTTAAATGTTTCAAAGGCTTTTAGTCTGTAAAGCGAACACAAAAGTTGCACTGGTGCTTTTTAATGCATGGTGCATGATGTCAGTTAATCGAGCTGAGGTCATGGAACTTGCTGTGTAAAATAATTGTTGCAACCTGAGAAAACTGTGTTCACTTTTTCACTTGTTCACCCCTAAGGCACTGGATCAAAGCCATTATAGCTCAGTGCACATTTGACCTCGACATCACTCAGCCATATATTTGTAATATAAGTGTGAAGATTGCCTGCAGAGATGTAAGACATTGAAGTCTATGTTTAAAAAAGTAATTGACTATTGTAATTAAGAGATTTTAACTCCATAACAATAACTGCCTATTTTACATGTTTTCTTCACTCAGGCCTCACTGCTAACTCCTAATGAAGACTTCATATGCTTTCCAATACCCTTTATCAGCCATCCAAAACTATATTTAAAAAATGTTGCCTTAAATATAAAACTATGCAAGTGGTCATGTTTTAAATTATGTTGTTGATGATGTAACATTAAAAAGTACTTATGAAGTAAATAAGTCATTACATATTTTGAGACGTATTCTTCCTTGTGTTTTTTTTTATTTGAATTAGCTCAGTAACCAAGTTGGGGTTGTCAGTGGAAACAAGATAGGTCACATTGTATCTTAACAGATTGACTCACCCCTTGAAGTAAGCTCAATGTGGCCTCCAAAGAGCCAGCAAACTGAATCCACCACACTTTGAAAGTTACGTAGAAACCCATTCTTTTCTTCTTCCTGGGTTAAGAACAAATGTTAACCTGTGTACTTTACATAAACAGTGACACTTACAACACAATTATTTCATTATATACGAGGGTAAAAATATATATATCAACTACACACTTGAAGTCATGCTTCAATTTGCTCAAAAGACCGATTTAATAATTTACAAACTGAGTTATTTTGCATTGAATGAGTCATATTTGTGTTATTGCTAGTATACAAGATTAAAAACAATGCAGTGCATTCCAATAAGCATTAGATATGAGCAACACAGTTTCTGATTATTCTAAAATGTTACCTGTCACTGCCTGTGAATTTGCAAATGACCTATATAGGTACAATGACACACTTTTAACTTGTAAAACTAATTTTGCAGACATTAACCAGATATTCCAGGAGACAGCTAAATTTTTTTCTGGTAGCTGCATTACAAATTAGATAACTGTTCTTCTACCATCTTTCCCTTGAACTACCTCTCCTATACTATGGGGACCTCATTTGCCAGTAAAAATATGATAATTGGTTCTTTACCCTTCTATCTGGCAACAAAACTGACACCTTTTTGCAAGGAGTCATGTTTGCATAGACCGCAATACCTGCAGTCATAATACAAACAAAAGAACATAACTCTGATAATGTGCACTGTCCTTGAAGTTGATTGGTCCACACCCGAGACAGCTTTCCTTCGAGCCTAGTCTCATATGGGTTGGACCAGATGACGCCAAAAGGCGCACAACTCAAGGACAATGCACCATCAGAGTATGAGAGCTCGGGGCAAGCATCTACACTATGGGGACCTCATTTGCCAGTAAAAATATGATAATTGGTTCTTTACCCTTCTATCTGGCAACAAAACTGACACCTTTTTGCAAGGAGTCATGTTTGCATAGACCGCAATACCTGCAGTCATAATACAAACAAAAGAACATAACTCTGATAATGTGCACTGTCCTTGAAGTTGATTGGTCCACACCCGAGACAGCTTTCCTTCGAGCCTAGTCTCATATGGGTTGGACCAGATGAGTTGTGCGCCTTTTGGCGTCATCTGGTCCAACCCATATGAGACTAGGCTCGAAGGAAAGCTGTCTCGGGTGTGGACCAATCAACTTCAAGGACAGTGCACATTATCAGAGTTATGTTCTTTTGTTTGTATTATGACTGCAGGTATTGCGGTCTATGCAAACATGACTCCTTGCAAAAAGGTGTCAGTTTTGTTGCCAGATAGAAGGGTAAAGAACCAATTATCATATTTTTACTGGCAAATGAGGTCCCCATAGTGTAGATGCTTGCCCCGAGCTCTCATACTATGATGGTGCATTGTCCTTGAGTTGTGCGCCTTTTGGCGTCATC